CAGGAACAACAGGCACCAAGTACTGGACACCATCACCGTCAAGATCTGCTAAGCTCTACCAAAAGCCTTTTCAACCTTCCATAACGATAACTTCAAGAAGTAAAAGTCTTTCGTCAAGATCAGATCGCCCACGAACTCCCAAGATAAGAAGGGCACCTTTTGTGCTCACTACTCCGAAAAGAACCCCTGCGGTGACGAAGGTACCCAGACCTGTTTCTGAAAAATGGGCATCGTGGTTGAAAGAAAAAACTGTGTCCTCTGCTTCCATGAAACAACCTGCTGCCGCGCTTAAAGTTACAGAGCGAGTAGAAACCGCAAAAATCAACTCTGATAGGATTCCACCGTTCAAAACTCTATCACAAACGTCGGGAGGCACAAGTCCGATGGTAGCAGCACCACCCAGGTCGCCGCTTAAGCCTTTTCAGCTCAGCGGCTTACCAGCGTTGCCAACTTCTGGTGGATCTACGCCCAGCGCTGCAGTGGCATTGCCAAGCGCAGGGGGAGCTAAGCCCAGTACCTCGGCCCCAGCAGCAGCATCTCTATCGGCACAAACGGTTAAGTATGTTCCTGAACGAGACTACAATCCAGTAAGCATTTACCAAAGGCATCGAATTTGACTCAATCTACTTGTGTTACAGGTTTGCAATTGCACTAACTGTAGAGTCGAGAGGAAAAATCGTGAAGAAAATGTAAGTGTAGCAATAAGACCAATCAGCCCCTATTCTGACAAAGAAAAGCCGTAATGGGCATTGGGCTAAGCGAATGTAGAAAAGCAAATGTAACAACTCATATCCCAGTGAAAAACAAAGCTTTGTTTAATAGACTGCATCTTCATCGCTCCTAAATACAAACTTAACAATTAAATCAAAATGGATACAGTAGTTGAAGTAGTGTTCAACAAGCGATGCATACTTGTAAATGTAGCTTGAAACGCTAATTCCAAATTCGCCTTTCAAATCCACACAGCGTTTTCGTGAAAAAAAATTGTAAAAGTTTTTTGCGCTAAAAACCGCAAGCAACAGGCAAGGTGTGAGTTTCCTACAATTTTCAGCCTTTGCGCTGCCCTGGATCAATTTCTTCCAGAAAACGCTTCACAGATGTGTAAAAGCAAATTTGGAATCAGTATTTACCTTATTTTAAATCGTTACTTTGACTGAGTTTCCTTCCCTTATAAGCAGAATACGACATATCTAACATGACGATATTCCATTTGTCTCTTCAGGATGTTTGCGATTGCTACGACTGCATTTACGAAATGAGGTCATCAGGTGGCCTTAAATCGGCAGGAAAATCCTCTTCAAAATCTGATAAAAAGCATCCACCTCGTCGAATGAAAGCTGAGTACGAATGGGTTAAGAAACTTTTGAAAGTACAACAACCTGGAGGCCGTTATCATACACCTCAAAGTAAACCAGTAAGTTATCCATGGCAGCAGTCCAAGAAGTCAGCCTCCTCGCATTCGGGAGGGGGAACTTACCGCGAAAGATCCACTAGCAGCCATCATGGCATCTCTTCCACGCCAGAAGTGAAGGCTAGCCCGGCAGTAGGTCAGCCTAGCAGTCAGACGGACTCATCGAAACAACAATCGGGAGGTTCCACAATCAGCAAGGCAAGCGAAAGTCAAAGCAAAGGGACTTCAACCACCGCAAGTCCATATTTGACGGGAAGCACTGGGCGTAGCAAATCTAGTTTGGAAGGTCGATCCTATGATAGCCAGCAAAGTGATTCGGATAGCTGGAGTGCTCCAGAAGACGATTCGACTGGATCCTATCAAACACCTATATCACGACTACGCAATCGAAGGTAACTTTAGAAAGGATCAGTTCAGAATAATGCTATTTTGAAGTTTTTAGAAAACCTAAAAGAAGCCCATGGAGATAATTACAATCGAAAGAAATATAAAACGTTGACTAGATGAACGAAACTACTATTTAGCCAACTAGAATACTACTGACGATAAATCGTAATCTGTCAGTATTAAACTTCACATCTTACATTCTATGTCAAGCAGTTCAACGAGACACATGAAAGGCCAAACCACCACATAATCGCTAACTAACTAGGAATTGTCGACTATTAGACATAGCTATGAGTCAAATTGAGCATAGCTAATAGCACTTTTATATTCTAAGATGTCTAAGAAATCCTAACATGGGTTCTTCCGTACCTGAAACTGTCTGATACTTTATATATTCAGCGGCATCAACTGAC